CAGCCTTAGAAGATTCACTCTGCTATTCACCACGATCTTCATACGTTGCTGTCGTCGCGATCGATTTCGGAACAACCTACAGTGGTTTTGCTTTCTCGTTTATTAAGGATCATGGCAAAGATTCGATCTTTATGAACAGGGACTGGGCGAATGAACAAGGGGGTCGCACCAGCAAAACACCAACTTGTCTGCTACTGAATTCCGACCTGTCATTTGATTCGTTTGGATACGAAGCGGTTGAAAAGTACGCAGGTATTCAGGAGGAATGCCATGAGGGTGAATACCTGTTTTTTCAGCATTTCAAAATGGATCTTCACAATGACAAGGTAATGATTGCACTGATAATAACGCTCCTCTTCTCGACCTTGTCTGTGGCCCACAATAAACTTGCCTAAGGTAACACATTGAAAGAATGGTCCCTGGCAAATTGTCCTTGTTTTTAAGAGCGAATAGGCAAGGAGGTGTTATTTTTTCACCCAAAAATAAGAAATGCTTTCTCTTAGGGCAATGTTAGCACAATCCGGTGGTTGGTTGGCAATTAACATTGCCATTTGTTGACTATATTGACAAACTTTAAATTTAATTGATTACACAGACATCAAAATAGAGCAGTAAGATGGTCTATGGCTTAAACAGAACAGAATTTTGCAGATAATCTGTGTTTGATAGATCAATCACTGAGCTATACTATTACGAATAGAATGCATGCTCTCCTCTCTTGTCAACATTGATTATTCGGGCCTTCAAACTTCGTCAATCATAAGCCGATAGAAACTAATCAACAGTAAGAGTTTAAGAGAACGGATCAGATTTTTAAGATATTGAAATTGACCATCGTGCATATACAAAAGATATTCATTGAATATTACTCTTCGCAGACCATCAATACAGAAACATCTATCAAAGCTGCTAACGGGCGCCTTGTCAAAGCCAAGACAGTATTTGCCCATTCAATTAGGTTTTTAAAGGAAGAGGCCATTAAAGTAATTTGTCAGCGGACTGGGGATGAACATTTCAGTGAAAATGATATCCAGTGGGTTCTAACTGTCCCCGCCATTTGGACTCCAAGGGCAAAGCAGTTCATGAGAGAAGCAGCTTATGAGGTGAGATGATATGATGTTGAGCTCACCATTCCAAACAATGCGTAGTATCCCAGACCAGTAGAATTTCAAGCAAGTAAGATCAATATCGTTTTCTGTTATGTATCGAATTTCTGGTTTTATCTATTATTAAATTATTATAATCAAGTGATTGACCCTATTATATCACTCGATTAGTTTCCCTCGCATCCGTCGATTATAGTTAACTTGATTTATTGTGAAAAAAAATAAAATAAAAGAAACAAAAACAACCACAAGAACAGCAACAATAGGTTGACGCATTTAGTAGAATAGGACATTTTGGAATTTTTGCCCTCCTTCCACAAGATTTGATTCAAATTAATAAGTTTGGATTTTACCTGCTCGAGAGAAGTCCAACAATAAAATCTCGAAGGTTTCCAACGTATAAAGGAGGCAAAACATGTGCTGCATTGGAAATGAAAATGCGAACTATTGGAATCGCTCCTCCCCACTGCCCTGCGTGAGGTAACTGGGTCATTTGATCAGAGTTCTAATGATACTTGTCAAAGGATTCTAGTGTTTTCTTAGCTCAATTGTTTGGCATTAAACTTGCGTTGGCATAGCAAATGTGATTCATTTAGGTCTCAATGTTTTCTGCTTTGCAAATGGTTAGTCTGAAAATTATAAGGATTTATTTTTCTTGATTTAAAGGCTAAGACTATTTCGATTTTTTAGGCTGGTTTGGGGTCGCCTGACAATCCAGACCAGGTAATGATTGCTCTTGAACCTGAAGCTGCCGCAATTTGCTGTCTGGAAAAGAACATGAGCGAATTCCAATCAGAGACCGGTAGCAGTTCGGTAGAAGGACTTCTGTGTCAACCAAGTACACATTACATGGTTGTTGATATTGGAGGTGACACATCGTCATAGTTTCTCTTTTTGTGTTACGTATAAAATTAAGTATAGTAGCTGGGTGCAAAACAAAAAAATACTAAGGAAAGTTTTGGAAATATTCCTTTAAATGCAGACTAACCGCTTTAGTCTAAATTAAATAAACAACTTCAAGTTCAAGTTTCTGTCTTAAAGAGTCTTACAACAGCAAAAAAGAAGCAAAAGAAAAGAATAAGAAACAAGTAAAAAGCAAAGCTTTTGTCTACAGTATATGAGCAAAAAGTAATTAGTTGCACTGACTGTTTTCATTAACTTGGCTTTGTTTTTGTTCAGGAGGCACTCTTGACGTCACAGTACACGCCATACAGGACGACGGTAACATCAAAGAGATCCACAAGGTGACAGGAGGTCCATACGGCGGAATAAAGGTGAATCAACAATTTGAAGCACTTTTGGATGAGCTGCTCGATTCGCGGAAGCTTCAAACCTACCGGAAACAGTCTCCATCTGATTGGCTCTGTCTGATGAACGAATTCGAGGGCAAAAAGAAAGGAGAACGCATCTTAGACAGCAAAGTAATGACAAACATCCGATTACCACGCAGTTTTGTGTCCCTGGCAAATCAGTGCTGGAGATCACGCTACGGTGAAAAAGAAGTTAAACTGAGAAATAATGAGTACCTTGCTCTCAGTTCAGAAGTAATGAAAAAATTGTTTGTTCCGGTAATTGAGGATATTAAGAAACATTTGAGATCCCTGCAGAAAAATCCACAGCTGTCAAAGGTGAAAACAATGCTTTTGGTTGGAGGGTTTGCCGATTCTGCTCTTCTTCAGAAAGAAATTAAGAGTGAGTTTTCAAGAAAGTTCAGAGTGCTGATCCCCAATCATGCAGCTATTGCAGTCGTTCAAGGTGCCGTGATGTTTGGCAAGAAGCCTTCGAAAATAACCGAAAGAGTTGTGCGTACAACCTATGGGATGGCTAATGTGCAAGACTTTATACGAGGTTTTGACCGTGAAGAAAAGAAGTTTTTTGTGGATGGGGTTGAGAAGTGTAAAGACAAGTTCGACGTTTTCGTAAGAGAGAACGCGACAGTACAAAATGGTCAGGTAATCACAAGACGTTACACTCCACTTCGTGCAACCGACATCGACATCGAACTGAACTTTTATGCTACTGGCAATCCTGATGAAGAATATATCACGGACCCCGGAATGACGAAGATAGGTAATATGGCGGTTCAGTCCCCCGACACTTGGAGAGGTAAAGATAGAAATATTGAAGTCAGCATGTATTTTGGTCGAACGGAAATAACTGCGACAGCAAAAGATGTTTCGAGTGGGAATGTAGCTCGAACCATCCTTGACTTTTTACAGTCGTAAGTTAAAGACTAATTTTGCCACTGGATTAGTTGTCAGTGCAATTTGTTGTTTGTTAAGAAACTTGAACTTTTTTTAAGTCATTTAATATTAACTTTTTTTAAACACTGAACAAAACGAATTGACTGTATGAGTGGCTACTATGAAAGCATATCATTAATACTTTCAAGTCATATATATTCCTAATTTTTAATAACTGATATAAAAAAATTAATCTTACTTAGTTCAACTGGCTCATAGCTATCTCTCGGAGCTTAACTCCGGTTTCTGTAGCATAAAGCGGCTAGGAGTATTGCTACCCCTCCCCAACCTCCTCATCCCTAGATGGGATGTTAGTCCGTCGCAGGCTACTCCTCGTCATTCTGTTAGGTTGCCACAACAACGTACCAGAACCCATTTATACACGTAGGTGGAGAGGAGAACTGTGAGAGTACAGTGTCTTGAACAATGACTGAACAAGCATGGCTGAACATGTTCTTATCTTAGGGAATTCATAATGCAGAATTTCTAGTTATTGTTTGTATATTTTTGAAACAAAAAGATAACGTTATGGTTTTTCTTCGTTCGTATTAAGTATGCCGTTGTGTACAGGTAACTGAACTCGCTCAAAAAAGCAGTTAGCCAGAGAATAAGGGAAAGACGGCTGCAGTAGAAATGCAGTAACGGATCAGGTCGGAATGTATTATTGTGCAGTTTGAGGTGCTAGAGTAAATGTATGACAAGATAATTCAGTTTTAGCATGCAAATAAATCAAGTATTCATATTTGAAATCGAGCTTTAATCTGCTATAGCTTAAGGAATCTTCGCTTACGTCACATTAAGGACACTAGAAAAAGGCTCATTTTGATTAATTAATAGTTGTCTCCGTATCTCTATATTTCAGTTACGAACTTATTAGCAATATTAATGGTTACTTTCATTTGTATTGGTTTTGTAATCAGACCTTTTAGCGTCACCACGCGCACATAAAAACTGATTTAGCGTCCCTTAGAAGTATTTTTTCGTTCGATTTCGCTTGGCCGAGCTCTTGAAAATTATGATTCTTAACCCTTGGCTAAGCGGGACCGAGTACCTTTGTCATTTTGTTAAAGTTAAGTTTTCTAGTTATGGGCGAGAGAACACAAGTTAACACCATAGTACAGCGTTAATTTATCTATAATAGTCAAAAGGCGAAAATGGTCTTAACGCCACTAGAGTGAACACTCGTCATGAGGATTTACTTTTGAGAACATTAGGTTGATAATCTGATCTTTTTCTGTGTGTACTTGCGTATTCTTTGATTGAACTTGATGTGGAATCTTAACGTAGCGTTTACGCGGGTTATTTTTGATGTTTTTGTTACTCTGTTTCGTTATTTTATGGACTCAAAATTGCTTAGTTTGTCACATGTAAGTTTTAACCATATATATTAACCACATATTAAGCAACTTGTTATGCTAAACTGATAGAATTGATAGAACCTTCGTTC